CCAGCCCCCTCGGTGTAGGCAGGATCTCGTATACAAAGCACAAACTTCGTTTTTGATCTTCTCCGCCATACCCTGGCCAGGCGGGCTCCCGTGGTCCTGGGAGGGAAGGGGCAGAGGGTGGTGGGACAGGGACGATGTGCACCAGCCTGGGCCTGAACTGACCCCAGGGAAACGGTGCCTGCACCGATGCTCCAGAGATTATCAGCATCTTAAGGGGTTTATTTCAAAGCAGGGCGAGCAGTGCTCTGAGCGGGGCGGCCGACAATGGCCAGGTCCTCAGGCACCCACTTGGTTGGAGCTGCCGGCGCTGCCGGTCCTCAGTGCTGATGGAGAGGGGCATTTTTCACCTTTCTTGCCGCTGCTGTTGCAGTGGGGACAGGGGTCTGCCATAAGCAGGGAGAGGAGGGGTGCAAGGCTGGTACCACGCAGGACAGCTGGGGCCCTGTGGATTCAGGAGGACTACTGTGCACTGCCCCAGCCCAGGCTGGTGTGGGGACCGCCCCAGGACCCCGCAGCCCATCTCACTGCCAACCTGAAGCCTGGCTCATCCAGGGGCTGTGGCAACGCCAGCTCAGGCCCCAGGCATCCCCGGGACATGCAGTCAGCTTGGCCAAGGCAAACTGTGTTTGATTCTTTTTTTTTCCTCTCTTTTTTTGGGAAATAAACTAAAACCCTAGACTTGTTGGTGTTTTTACAACTCCAGTGTAGTTTCCACCTGTCTGACCGTGTGTCAACCTTTGTAACATTGGCAATAAACCGTTAAAAGTGACTTTCCCATGATCCCTGCCCATCCCGGCTCTTTGTCCTGTGTGCGTGTGTTGCAGTGGGGACACTGGTGGCTCTCCTGGGTAAAGGACCTGGAGCGCCCAGGTTTATCGAGATCATTTATCGAGATGGCAGGATGGACTCACCCACCTCTGCACAGCATGTCCCGGGGGGTCCCGGAGTGCTCCAGCCTTGCTTGGGGGGAGCAGACCCTGAGCCTGGGATGGGAGGCTGCTGCCCACCAGGAGTGGTGACCAGGACTGGGGCTGGTCCCCCACTGCTGCAAAGATTTCAAAGTGCAGCTGTCTGCCGTCTGGCTGCGTTTCACCCCAGCGGAGCCCAGCACAAAGCACACGCTGCCTCCAACCGCTGCATGTTGTATCTTTAATATGATTGATTTTATTTTTTTCTTTTAATATACATATATATATGTATTTAAATATATTTCTTATTTAACAGTTGGTATCAGCCAGACAGGAGCTGCCCATCTCACACAGATATGGAGCCATATGGCACGACGGTCTCCAACACAGGGCCCACCGTGTCTGCTCGCTCACACACACAGACGGGGAGAAACCCCTACTCACACCATGGGCACCCACTGGGAGAGGAACATCATGGCAAAAGGGTCTCAGGGACAGGCGTGCACTGCGCCTGAGGTGTAGGGCTCCAGCCCCAGAGCTGTGCCTCATCCTGCCTGCAAAACACAGGGCAGGCAGGCAGGGCTCTCAGTGGCCCTGAGACCCTGGGGCTGCCCCAGCTACTTCTGATGCCATCCTCCTCCTCATCCTTCCAGCAGGACAGGGTGTCCTAGCGGGAGGTGCCCTCAACTAGCCCAAGCTTGGTGTAAGACAGAGACAGGAAGAGGGAATGTTCCTGAACTTGATCTCACCCATACACATGTGAGCTACTGAGCAGAGAAAGCGATGGCTGGTGCCTCAAAGGTCATCCCTGCCTCTGCCCTGCTCGCCCCGCAACTCCCCCCACCCTGAACAAGGGACATGCTGTCGTCAGGAGCAGCCTTGGACAGAGCCTGCCCTTCACTTCAAATATGCAAGGCATCTCAACCCCCATGGCCACCACAGTGCCTTGTGCCTTCAAGGCCAGGCCCTGCTCTTCACCCACCACCAAGCTCTCTAGAGATCCTGCTGACTTTGAATAGACTTACAGGAAAAATAAACCCCCAAAACCCACACGTAACCTGATCCACAGTGAAACAGAGAAGGAGGAACCACAAAACACACGATTCCTCCATGAAGGTTGCAGTGGAGGGCCAAAACCAGTGGCCTGTGTAAATGATACCCTGCATCCAGGCTTCCCCAACAGGTCCTCTTCTCCCACACAGAAATTTTCTCTGGGTAGAAAGAGGAATTTGTGCATTTGTTGGGGATTTCCAGATACTGGGCAGACTGCTGTGCTCATGCAAATGTGATGCATTACAGACCTGATGTGTTGTAGAGTTAAGAGGTGCAGTCAGGTGGAGGAGACAGCACTCCACCAGTGCTGGTCACACAGCACCCCTGCTCCTGCGGCCAGGCAGCAGCACCAAGGTCCGCTCAGGTCTCTGGCCGTGGCAAGATAGAAGCCCTGCCCTGGGTCTAAAAGCACCGATGCATCTCACCTGGGGAACTTGGCCCCTTGGTTAAGTGGCAGTAGCCAGCTGAGAAACTTCTCTCTGCAGTCCAGCTGTGAGGTGGGAGATGAAGAGCAACAGTGAGGAAAGCAGGGACAGGAGAAAAAGAGGAGGGAAAGCAAGACCAAGAGATGGGGTAGCGCCATACCAGCAGGGATGTGCTGAGAAAGGCCCCCAGAGAGCAATGTGGGGAGCTTTTGCAGGAACCTCTGGCACCCTCCAGGTCCACAAACACCAGACACGTGTCCTGGGGAGCTATAAGCAGGAAATCTCCCTGGAGGCAATCCCTGAACTGTTGAACAGCAAGCTGTGACCAGCATCACTGGTGTGGTCACACACCCCAGCATAACAGCTGGGAATAAAGGGGCAATGTGAAGGAGGAGGTCAAGGGCCAAAGGAGAGATGTGGTTTTGCAACCCACGATGAAGACCCAGAAGAGAGGAGCAGGGGAACATGTGACAGCTGCACTGGAGAACTTGCGTCCCTATAGGTGACCATGTAAACCAAGTGTGTGGCACGAGATGGGGTGGAAAAGCAAGCTGGGAGGGCACTGTTGAGTGTGTACCTCTGTTGGCACAAGAAACCAGGTCTGGCCGGCGTTGGCCTTCTTTGAAAATATCTCTGGCAGCATGATAGAAAGCTAAGCACTGGGAAGGAATGGGACTCGTTCTGTTATGAACGCCCTGGGTAAGGTTTTACACTGACACATCTATGATGCCGAATAGACACACGGGTGGGAAGACTGTTGGGAAGCTTCTGCCCCCGATGGCTCCGAAGCACAGGGTGCTCTGCACTCACCAGACACCCGGGGTCGGGTCCTCCAGCCACGCCAGGCAAGGTCTGATTTGACAACTTCTGCAGAACATGGAAAATAAACCCGCGAGAGACTTTTTTTTTTCTTTTTTGGCAAACTAAAGACAGAATTAGTTTCTTCATGCACCTGAGCAAAGCTCAGAGCAGGAGCAGAGTCATTTTAAAACTCATTCCCAGGTAACATGTAGGGACTGGCATGGTGTGGCACCGAGGTGAAGGACACGGTGATCCTCTCCATTAGAATGCAAAATGCTGCAACAAATGGGGGTCGCAGCTACCCCTTCCTGGCACGGGCTTGGAGCAAACAGCCTTCCTATCATCTTGCTTTGGAGCAGCTCTGGTGAGAGCGCCTGGGGCCTCCACAGCCCCATCCTCCCTGGCCAAGGGGCAAGGGGGAGAGAAAGGTAAGACTCATGTTCCCTCGTGCAAAAAGTGTTAAGAGAAACAGAGTGAAAAAGAAGAGAAGAGGGGAGGGAGCACAGGATGGACACACACACGCTCTTGTGACTGGCCCTTTCAAACGCTTTCCAACCATGAAAGCATCTGCGTCGCCTCCCACCATGGCCGAACTGTCCAGAGAGAAGTTTTGCTGGAGGTGAGGAGGGTCTGGTCCCACAGGCCCCAGCCATGGATGGGGAGTGCTGAAGGGCTGCTCAGCGAAGGCCCCCTGCTGCACACACCCCCCGCACTCATGCATTACATCCCAACCAGCTCTAGAAAGTGTTTTTTTTGGGTCTACCCTGAGCAGATTCCTCAAATGAAGGTGCTTTTCCTGGCGGGGGGAGAGGGTGGGGCCGGGGCAGGGCTGCAGGGACCTGGCAGTCAGCACTCATTTGCTCTCTCTGGAAAGAAGATTTCGCGGCATCGCTGGACCGTGTCCTGGGGGGACTGGACACTGTGTCCCACTGTGCGGGGATCGTCATAGATTTCATAATCATTCCCTCCCTGCAGGGGAACAGAAAACAGGGAAAGCATTAGCTGGGTCTCGCCAGAGCATCCTCATCCGTGAATTCACATCTTGCTCTGTCCTGTGAGAAGCAGTGGTGGGAGCCGGCGGCTGGGAAGGGGCTGCCAGGGCTTTGCTGGCCCAGGGAGGCAGAAGAGGCTGGGCTGGGAGCCTTGCTCTGTCCCTCTTGCCTCCCCTCTTCAGTGCCAGGGGAGGAGGGAGAAAGGACGGGGAAGGTCCTAGACCAGCAAAGCTTGTCCAGAAGCCTGGGGTTAACCCCTGCCCTGCCTGTGGATGGGCTAGCAGAAAGTGGGGTGGGCATATTTGCAGGGGCAGAGGTTGCCCATCATCCAGAAAGAGGCAAGTGGATGGCCAAGCTGGTCTACAGCAGCAAGGAAGCATCATCCTCCACTGCTCCAAAGGGAAGGTGAAGCTGTTTCTGCTGTTGAAAAGCCCTCTCCTAAGTGCTAGGGGCTTGTGTTTTGGGTCTTGCACCTGCAGGAGTGGCTCTGGGGGCAGGCAAGCGATGCTGAGGTAGACCTGCTTCCCAGCACAGTGAATCCAGGGTGGTTTCCCCCTGACCCAGCAGGCCTGCTGTCATCACAAGCCCACCACAAACACCTGCTGCATGAGAGCATCTCTCCCCCTCGCACAGCTAGAGGTCTGTGTCAGTGTGATGGAGCAGCTCCACGCAGGCTTGCCAGGCCAAAGGAGAGAAGGTGGCCATACGTGGCGTGAGCAGGGCATACTCACAGGGGTCGTCTCGTTCCCAAAGAAGTGGATGGTGTCAAATCTCTCGTCGTCGAGCACGTTGAGGCAGTAGCGCTTGTCCCAGCCCTCCGGGAAGACGTCAAAGCTGATCATGCCACCTGCCAGCAGAAGGGAGGGCATTGGGCAATGTCGGTGGGAGTTGGCAGGGTGTACCCCCACCCCAGGATGGGCGGGAGGAGGGGAAACGGCTGAATGGGTGCAGGGATCTCCCCGTCAAAACAGCAGCCAGGCACCAGATCTGCCTTGGTGTGTCTCCCCTGCACATGGGTAGGACAGCGGCAGATGCTGTTCCTATAACAACAGGCTGGAGTGACATCAGCATGGCTGGGGTGACATCAGTGCGGCTCCCCTGCCTGCAGGCAGGCAGGCAAGCAGGAACCAGTGGGCTGCAGGGGCGGGGGGGGGATGCTGGGGTGGGAAGTCCCAAGAGAAAACTCTGTTGGGGGAGATTTGGGGTTATGCCTTGCAGATGCAAAGCAAACCCCATGAGAGCTCATGGATCCCAGCTGACTGCACAGTGGGCCCTGAGCAGGCTCTGCACACTGATCTTGCCATGGTGGTACCACAAACCCATCAATACAATCAGACCCTGGCCTGTCACCTCCTGCCAAAAGAGTCAAGCACGGGTTGCCAACATCTGGAGGTGCACCAAGGTGGATGGGGCAAATGTAGGGAGGTAAAGGAGCTTTCCCAGAGAGAGTGCACATGCACACACATGGACACCCACAGCCACGGAGGGTTAATGAAGGTCCCAGCCCTTGCTCTTAGACCACGCAGAGTTTAGGCCAGCACTGTGCTGCCTTTTGGCACCTTCCCCATCCTCCAATCAGCCCTGCTGCGTGCACAAGCTGTGGAGCCAGTCCCTTGTCCCAGTACTGACACAGGTGGCATGCTCCTCCCAAAACAAAGCCTGCAACTTAGGGCATGTGTATGTTCCTCAGAGTTGGAGAAACGGGGATTTGAGCTGGGATGTGACTCTCCCCACCAAGTCTCTGCTCTTGCTGGTCTCAAGTGGGGCCTCCTGCTTCTCTCAGCAATCTAGTGGGCCACCAGCAATCCTAGAGTTTCACACTCTCCATAAATCATAACCCCACCTCTCTTAGGAAGGGGGTAAGTGGACAGGTACCTGCAGGGGATGGCCCCTGCTACCCTGCTAGAGAAGAGGCATCCGTTGTCCTGGGCTGTTCAAACCTGTATGTCCTGATGCCATGCTCTTCTCCCTGACTAGTTGAGGTGTTCCCGTTGGTTTTGGGGGTCCCAAAACCAAGGGAGGGAGCCTGTAGGAGCCTGTAATGGAGCCTGTGTCTCCAGCTCAGGGCAGAAGATTCACAGGCTGCCCCAAGCAGCCCTCTGCAATACAGATGGGAGCAAGTGCTGTACAAGCTCAGGGACGGGGATGCCCCCAGGCTCACAGCAGGAGCCAGCATCAGCACAGGAGCTAAACTTGGCTGCCCTTGTTAAAATCCTTCCTGGTTTTGTACCAAAAGCCATTTACCTGTGAAAAACGCTGCATTTCACTGCCTTCTGGCCTTTAAACAGAGCTGGGCAGCACCAAGGGGCTCCTGATGCCAGCTGGAGAGGGTAGGAAATCAAAGGGAGAAGAGGTGGTGTGGAGGACAGCCAGCACTGTCCCTCGCCTAGGCAGAGCACTGGTCTGGGGGACTGCAGGGAGATCTCCTACCATCTCTTACGGCTTGCGTCCTCCACAGCCTGGGACAAGGCATGTGGAGCCAGCTTGGCAGAAGAGCCCTGTTTCCACATGTCCCTGTTTTTGGATGCTTGACCTGAGACACCCCAGGTTTTCTTTGTGGAGGAGCCGGGGGGCCCACAGTTCCCCTTGTCTTCGTGCTTTTACACAACAGGCCCAGGCTCTTCATGGCGGCTTCCCAAAGTCAGAGGAGAAAGGCCCATTGTTCTGCTCCCGTCCCCCGTGCCTGCTGGGACATGGCGGCGGGGACCTTGTCTTTCTCTGCTGTGACAAACGGTGTGTGTCAGTAATGTGGGCAGCACAGGATGCCCGTCAGGACAAGGGGAGGGGAGGCTCTCAAGAGGAAAGCCCTTGGAGGACCAGAGGGACAGACCCTCGGTCCTGGTCCATGCTGGGTGCAAGAGTGGGGTGCGACCTGCCACCTCCCAACCTCGTCACCCCCTTGCCCTTTAGCTAGGCTGCCACATGGCAGCTTCTTATCTCACACATACCCATCCACTCTGCTTCAGCCCCACCACTTACACACCCTCATTTTATCCCCCTGTGCTGGCCAGACCCCCAGATTTCTCAAGGCTCTCCTTTGGTTCCTCATCTTCGGTAAGCTGGCTGTAAGAGCCACCCCAAGAAGCGGCCCTGCAAAAGCCCATGGCATGGAGCTGTGAACTCCTTGCCTCTCAGCAGCTCTTCCTCCAGGAAGAAAGGTGCTTCCCTTGAAGCCAACCCTCCCAAGAAAACCGCAGAGCCGAGACACACATGAGGCTCCTGCCTCATTCCTAGAGAGGAGCGCATGGGCCTGGAGCTCTGCCAGTCACCCTGCTGCTGACGCTTGGGCCAGAACCGACCTCCTGGGCAGGGGTGGGATCCGCACAGCTAAACGGAATTCAAGCAGGGATAATGTCATGGGACAAAAACCCGCCTGTTTGGCTGATTCCCAGGGAGACAAATCTGCAGCACAGTTTATTCTCTGCCGTCGCCCCGCCGCAAATGTGAATGTGACACCCCTGCAGCTGCTCTCCAGGACTACAAGCTCCTTGTGCTCTTCCCGGGGTCTCCAAGCCCCCGGAGGGAACAGCCAGGATTCCCGCTTCCCTTCCCACCATTTTATGGGGAACGTGATAAAGAGGCCAAGGCAAATCCAGGGAAGCCCCCTCCGCTCACCTCGAGAGAAGCGCAGGCCTTTGCCGGCAAACTCCCTCTGCAAGGCTGCCACAAACTTCTCCCGGATCCGCTCTTTCTATGGAGGAGAAAGAGGAAAGACAAGGAAGGAGGGTTTGAATAATTAGATGTTGACAGTCTACTAGAATCCACCATAAGCTGTCTACTTGGCAACTCTGGCTTATCACATTTCCCCTTCCCACCTGCCCCAAGCCCCAGTGTAATGCCATTTAGCTTTCACGAGTCCTGCCCAGTGTCTGCATAAAATGCCACCAGCTCAGGGCAGCCCCAGGATTCTCCAGGAAAAGAGCAGATTCCAGCCTTTCCTTAGCAATGAAATGCAACTGCTTCAGTTTTTACAGAAGCCCAGTTGATAACCCAAAGTCTCCAGCTTTGCCTAAAAAGTCTTGCAAAGTCCAACCGATGCCTCAACCCCAAGAAAGCTCCCCAAGGCAGAAACTGCTGTGAGCACGGGGCAAGTGCTCCAGAGATCTGCCCAGCAGATCCGCCTTGGCTCTACCAGTTGAAAACCCATCAGTTCCAGTTCTGTTGGGGCTGGGAGAGTGGGAGAGAGAAGACAGCTGCTGGGCCATCTTTGGTTACTGTAAACAAGGAAACACCCTGTTAAATAAGTGCCTTATTCCCTGGGGCTCTCCCACAGCATAAGGAATCCTGCTGGCCACCCCATCGCATCAGTGGTCCCCAATGAAGTAAAATTGTTCCTTTCATCTATGTCTCTCCTTAGGTTTTCTGACCCCCAGTCCTGTCTCCACCTTGTTGCACGTGTTGGCCTGGTGCACAGCTTGGAGATGGGCTCTTCTCCTCGGAGTGGGGGGAAGCAAGTAAGACCTGAGATCTGTGGTGGTGCAAAACCAGCAAAGGGGAGGGCGAGCCCAAGTCTGGCCGGTATACCTTGTCCAGCTCGGAGAACTCGATTCGCTCCTCTGGCGTGCAGCTCCGTCCAATGGGGGAGATGTTCAGCATCCCATTGCGAAACTCAATGAAGGTTCCTCTGTGGGTGGGCAAGGGCAAAAGGTTACTGGGGCAGGGAGAGAAAAAACAGACCTTTCCAGGGGAATGGCTGCACAGTGAGGCATGCAGTCTGCAGGGACACACAAGAGGAGAGCACCCGTGCCCACTCATGGGTGCTCATGTGTCAGGTGTACAAGAGCTTCTAAGGTTGCCCAAGAGCCCTGCTGCAGCAGGCAGAGACCGGGCTTCAACAACTCGGCTTAAGGTCTCCAAGGGGCTCATAGTTTCATAAAAAGAGACTGTAAGAGAAGAGGAATAAACAAATCTTGTGTGCCCTGAGGACAGGCTGGAAGCAATGAGCTCAGGTGAGATGATACGAAACATTTTCTAATGTTGTCACAACTGCAATGACAGCTATTGCCTGGACTGGACGAATCGCCTGATGAGACTGTGGCATCTCCACCCCTGGAGGCTTTAAAGAAATGTTGGGTGGGTTGGGTGAAGCTGGCAGTACTTTGGGGCAGTGGGAGGGAACAGGGGAGTGTAACTCATGACTGATGTCCGGCAGCAAGCTGATGAGCAATCAGGACCTCCTCCTGGAACACAAATCAGGAGGCCTTTTGCGCCTCCTGTTTGTCCCCTGCACCTTTGACTGCAACTCTTACCTAAGCTTGCACAGACAGGACCCAGTTCCTGCTTGCCACCCTCACCTTGCACTGGGATCACTACTCTGTGGCTTCCTTGGTGGGCTGGTTCAAAGCACTAAACCAGCAAAAAACTGCTCCCTTCTTTTCTCTTTGCTGCAAAACCAGCCAGTTCTGTTTGCTTATCACCTTGGAATAGCTCAAAGAGCAGTCAGACAGGTACCAGCACTGGTCCGCAGGAGGGGCAGAAACAACAGGGGATAGCAGCACTGCCAATTTGAAAATAGATTGAAACTCTTGTGGAAACTTAGCTGGAGTAGGGAGATCCCTTCCCTGTCCAGCTGAGGAGCACTGAGCTCATTAACCCTCTAATGTCCAGCTGAGGAGACCTGAGCTCATTAATCCTCTAATGTCCCTGCCAGCCCTGCCTGCCATTTCTCTGTGATAAAGCGCTTACCACTCAGTCTGGAGGAAAACTCTCCACCTCCTGTCTCCTACCACAGTGAAGGACATCACAAGGAACGCACACATGGGCAGCCACGCCTGCAGCCTGGGAGCAGCATCTCTCTAGCACCAAGGGTTTGGTGGCTCATGCCTCAGGCCGAGACTTGGGAGATGTGGGTTAAAGTCCTTGCTTTGCTAGAAATCCCATAAGCCTAAATCCACAGAGGCACTTGGGAGGTGAAACTTCGCTGGGCTGTTGGGCAACCAGACAGCAATGAGGCAACCAAACAGCCTTGAGGGTTCTGGGTCCCAGCCCACGCTTTTGGGGGCACGTTCAGCTGGCAGTCCTGTTGCAAGGAGCCACCCTGGCCCCTCTCACCGCTGCTTGTATTGCCACATGGTGACTCACATCAGCCAATTAATCTGGATCACAGTTTAGCAACTTTTACCAGCCTAATTTCAACCAGACAGCTTGCCTGCTCGGCTTCACGGTAAAAAAAAACACAAGGGGAGAGCAGGAACAAACCAGCTGGGGCGAGGGGATGGCAGAGCTGCTGCTTTCAACAGTCCTGCTGGCTCATGCCAGCTTCAAGCGTTTGTGAAACCGTGGTCTGAGGGGTGGTTCAACACTGCACCCAGGCTGGTTTAACTGCAGGCCGCCTCTGAAAGAGGTCCTCCTGCTCTCCCCTTCCACCTTCCTGCCATCTGGTCCCTCTTCTCTCCTTTCTGTGTTAACAAGGCAAGCTGATCCAATGGAAAATTACCCTTTCCTGGCAGTGGCCTAGTCCTCCTTCAGAGGAGGTGTATCAACCCAGCTCACCCTGTGGCTGCTGGATCTCATGGGGGGAAGCAGACAGGAACGCGCGGTCGGGGGCAGAGCAGGGACAGCCCTATTACCAGTGGCGCCAAGTGACACTGGGTTAGAAACAGTGTGAAACCGTGTGCTCAGGCGCTAGACCTCCCTTCTTAAGAGCCATTGTTTGTTTGTTTGGAAACTCATATGACCAATGATGCCTGATGCTCTGACCAGTAACGAGCTGGTACCATTGTCCTAAGTGAGATGCACGCAGTGGCTGTACCCTGCTGCTCAGGGAAGAAAATCCGAGGGGCAAAAGAGCAGGCATTATGTTAAAATATAGTGAAGACTCTCCAGAACAAAGACCCTCCTCCATTATTTGCCCACAGTGCCCAGCTTGGTGGGACAGGGATCCCACACAGGGCCTCTAGATGCTAAGATAAAACCTGGAGCAAGACAAGCTCAGTAGCTCAGTTGTTCTTAGGAGAGCTCTGGAGCCCAGAGCTCCCTAGAAATCAGTGATACGACTGCCATTTGCATGGACTTGGGCCATTACCGTTTCTTGGGCAGCTTCAGGAGCGCCATGTAGTTGAGACAGAAGTTGATCAGATCCTGCAGCAGCTCTTCCCCCAAGTGGTCCTGAATGGCCTGCGGGAGGAGAAGGGGGAGTGAGGAAGGTGCCTGACCACCCGTGAAGCCTACCCGAGGACATGACCTGGAGGAGTGGGACATTCAGATCTGGCATTTGGGGAGAAGAGAAGAGGCTACCCAGCTGCCTGGGCCCAGACATGGCTCCTCATGGCGCGCAGGGCACGGGGAAGGAGAGCCATGGCTGCAAGGGGAGCTGGACCTACCTGCTTGGAGACCAGCTGCCCGTTCTTGTATTGCACTGTGCCGTTCTCAGCAAAGACGTAGTCAAACTTGTCGATGACTGAGGGGGAGGAAACAAAAGAGGTGCAAATGCGCGCGGGAAAAGGGGCCAGAAGGACTGGGCTCAGTGCTGAGTGAGCCATCCTCCCAGTTCCTTAGTACTGAGCTTTCCACATCTCCCATGCTCCGCAAAGGGCCACTGACCCTCCTCGCTCTCCGCAAAGTGGGCGAGGAGATTATCTTCAGCTCACAGGTGGGGGAGCTGACGCACGCAGGCGGAAACGACCTGACCGAGGTCACGGGCTGAATCAGTGGCAGGACAAAGATAAGGGCTCCAAAATGTCAGGCTTTCAACCCACGTGCGCGTTACTCTGCTCCCTCTCCTCCCCTCCCCTCCCCTCCATCAGGCTGGTGGGGTGATGCAGACACTGGTTATCTAACTCCAGCCTCTC